GAGAAGAATTCTAAGAAGAAAGTAAACCTACAGACATCGGTCTTGTTTAACAAAATCTGCCTATATATATATATACCATGCCAGGTGCGTAGTGAGGAATAAACCATATTTATATTGATTAACTGAACTTTGAGAAAGCGTTTTGACTATGAAGTTGCTGTTTTTAAATTTCCTTTCATTTTATTCTTTCGTAGGCAATGCCTAATACGAAATACCATCAAAATTGTTGAAAGTTTTACTTAGACACGTGTAAAGTGTGACCTTTCTCTAAAGACAGTTCTCAGTCCACTTCATTTATTAGCTAGAAATATGACAAAATTATAAAATATTGACTTCAGTCAGCTGAAAGGACCAGTATGACATACTTCATAACATATACAAGATCTAGAGGAACTTGTTTATTTAACCATTAACTTTAGTTTCTGCTTTCAGTTGATAATGCCTTTGTTTCATAGCTACAGTTGTTGTTTTTGTTTGTATAAACTATTACAAATTTTCTAAGCTTTTGCACTGTACACATTTGTAGTTGCTGTTTATTTTGGGGGTGAAAATTTTTTTTTGTCCCACTAGGATGAAGAAAAAGATAAATCTCATGAAACAGACCAAAGTTCAGCTCCCAAATGGGCTGGATGCTCCAAATACAGTAAGTGTACATTTTACCAGAATCCTTCTTATGTATTTAGAACATTAGTTTGAAAGTATATGATACTTAAATAAAACAGTAATACCAAATGTCTCACTGCAAATATTAATATTTATCTTCCTGGTGAGTCTGCTCTTAAAATGCATAGATATAAGACATTTAGTTTCACGAAGGAAAGGGTTCAGTGTTTCAAATTTGAACTTAATTCAAAATATTATATTATTTCAAGGAACCCTTCATAGTATACGGTGAATTCAAGAAACACATTGACAAAAAAAACAGCACTGGTCACTTGAAGGTTCCAATTGACAGTTTAGATTTGTACTTGTCCAACAACAACAATGCATTTGGTGAAAGACAAGGCTCGGAAATCTCCCGGTTTAGCAACTCTTCAACCGATGAGGTACAGATTTCTAAATTTGTTAGTTGTATACTTAACTATAAAAATATTTTTTTTTATATTTAGGGGCAAAACAATGTGTTATTATTTCAAGTATTTAGAAAACATTGTATGTAAGTTAGGTTACAGGATCATTTAAGTAAAGTACATGCCATAGCAGTTATGTTTTATAATTTTATGAACAAGACGAGGATTTCAGGATAAGCTTTATGAAATTGTCAAATGATAGAAAAGCACCATTCTACAAATATACTGCTAATATATTAAATTCATCTTGATACCTTTTTACTCTAAATTTCTCTTTTTGTGTGCATTCAGGTTGAGAACTACCATCAACAGATTTCCCATTTGTTTATTTATTTCCTGTAGCCAATAACCCTTTTACTTATAAAAAAACTTGCATAGAAAAGTATATAAATATTAAACGTATCAGTATATGTTTTTAGCTGATCCAGAGGAAGATCCGGTGCACTAGTTATGGAAGAAATCCAAGTGGAGACAGCAGTGGTTACAGTTCTGCTGGAGGGCATGATAGTATATCCTCTTCTCTTACAGCTCACACTCAGCTTTCTTCTGAGTGCCATGCAGAACCTGAGCTTACTGGCTCTATTACATCTGATGCAGTCTTCATGGACTGCCATCTTGGAACTGACAACTTCTTAGCTCACTCCCAGGGAAAGGTGGGACTCCCCAAAGTGGAAGAACTCCAAGACACTGAAGAATCACATAGTGGGATTACTTCTGAAGAAACAACAAATGTTCCCAGTTCTCAGCCTCAACATCCTTACAGTTGTTTTAGTATTAGGGGACAAACTGAAGACGGTTACATATCATTTCTGGGTCACCGAAACAATACACCTGTAATGACAAGAAACTTATCCAACAGTGAGCCTTCAGTTTTTGATATTGATGATGAACAGACAAATGAGGTAACTAACCCACTTGTTGCTGTTCTCCCATATTCCAGGTTTGGATTAGCCAAAAGTCTTGGTTCAACATTTGATTTCAGTATTCTACAGCCAGAAGATCAAATAGAAAATGTTACTCCAAGTACGGGCTACTCTAAGTTTGGAGTGATTCATGTTTTAGGGAATCCCCTGAAGCAAACCTGCTCTTTAAAAGTTGATGAAAACAATGTTAGAGTTGGAATGGCATTAATCACTCCTGATCCAGATCTTGAACCTAAACAGGTTTCTTTAAACAAAATGCCAACCAAAGGATATGTCTTGGCAAAACCAGTACCTGTATCTGATGAATTATTTACAATGAAATCCACCCAAAATCCAACTCAAAGTGTCCTTCCATTTAGAGAAGCTTACTCCAAGCTGGGCCTGCCAACCAGGGTGCCAAAATCCAGAGGTTATATCAGTCTTCCCAATGCACTCAGGATGTTTAGCACATCTACTGAGTCTGGAGAGAACCAAGGTTATTCAAAGTTTGGAATAGAACCAAACTTGGATCATATCGATTCCTTGGGAAGAACACGGCAGGAATCTCAGCTATCATATTCTCATACTACGAATCCTGAGAATAATGTAGCTTGTGAAAACACAGATGTGACTGGTAGTGATGCAGCTTTCAGAGAAGAAAGTGAATGGAACAAAACTGAAGAAAGACTTGTAGATTCTCAAGGAGCTCATGGTATCGATAAAAGTCAGTCTTCTCACTACCCTGAAGAGTTAGTTGCCAACTACACCAGGCCAGTTTTATACAGGACGATTAGTGAACCCTCAAAAGAAAAAATAATCAACACAGAAGAAGAAGAAGAAGAATCGACTGATGTTGACAGTTATGTGCCCATGAAACAATCTGGAAAGAAAGATTGTGGTGTAGGAAATGGGTCATATGTTCCTCAAAACTTTCCTTTTTCATTGCCTCATGAAATGCCTCAAAAAAAGAGTATTATGTTCAAAAACAAAAATGAAAGTAATGGTTATGTCAGGTGGAATGACATTATAGGAGGTTCCACTAACTTTCAACAGTCTTCACAGACACATGGGGATGTGGGTAAGGGCCAAGAACAGGAGCCCAAACATTGTGCTTATACTTGTGTTTGAAAGGGTTTTTAATGATGTACTTACTATTGTGGATAAAGATTGTATTCTCTAACTGCTGGGAAAACAGTGTGTAAAACCACTATTTTACCTTATTCCTGCCAAGCTTAGTGTTTTATCAGAAAAGTTGAAACATAACTTACCAGGCAAGTGTAGTACTTTTGTACTGTCACTAACTTTTTTTTTTTTTTATGAGTAAGTGAGAATGGAGTTCTATATATGACTTTTTAAAAAATATTTTGCCAACTCTATCTTGTCACGACATCTGTGTGCGGAGATAAACGTCAAGACATAAATTGAGCACAGGTTGATCGAGAATGAGTGAATGTCTTGTATAGAAGTGTTTTCAAAACAAGTTCTATGGCAATCTGAAGTGAAACATTCAGTACTCTAATGTAAACTAAAATTCCACTCAATTTTCGGTATGTAAAATTTTTACATATAACTTTAGGCTGACCTGTGCTTCAACATGTGTAGAAAACCAGTTTGTTAAGAAATTCAACGTTTATATTTCTTGTCAAATTCCAGACAAATTCTTCATACACTGAGAGGTGGAACTTTCAAAAGTGAGGGTGGGGGGTGGATTATGGTTTGTTGCATGTTCTATAGGAACATACCCTCTGACTTATCTAGATATGTATTTGGTGTTGGTTTCTGCTAAGCCCTAGAGTAACTGGTAAGTAAATTAACCCATAATGCTATTTGAAATGATAGGGAGAAATGCTGCCTCCTCTTGTGTAAATTACATTTATGCATATATTACATTATGATATTACACAGGTCAGACAATTATTAACCAAAATTCATGACAGAACATTAGATACACAATTTGGCAAACATTCTGCATAATAGCATATTTTCCCATATACATTGTTACATATAGAAACGTACGTGTGTCATCAATTTGATCTCTCAGGCCTGTTTTATACGTAAGCCACTGTCCTCCTACATTTACTCTAGACACGAGACTCGTGAGTATTTCTGAAGTCGGTGTGTAAGTTACTGTATAAGAAATGCTAAGACTCGTGAGTATTGCTGAAGTCAGTGCGTAAGTTGCTATATGAGAAATGTTCAGACTTGTCTTTCGTTACTGTTACAGTAGTTCTGGTATTGTTTCATAATTCAAGCACTACTGACATTACCTTAAACTTCAGTGATAATACCATCTAATTGTCTATAAGTCAGATAAAATAATGTACAAAAAGAGAGACAGAAAGTATCCCAGGCATTTTCATATGAATGTTCGTATGTTCTGTAAAAGAAAAACAAAGATTTCATAGGAAGAAAGTATGATTAGTTTGGTGTGTACTAAGCTGATATTTAAATATATATATATAAAACCGTATGAGGTAATGCACAAAGTAATAAATAAGTTTGGTTTTACATATATATATATATATATATGTGTATATATATATATATATATATATATAGCAGAGAGAAAAATGTGTTAAAACAC